ATATTGTTTTACTATTCGACTCACATGATTGATAACCTCAAAAAAATAGCAAAGCTATTTCCGTTCACACATGCGTTTCTCCCTTTTTGGGGTTTTCTTCTTTCTTTTTGCTTAATCTTTTTTTTTTTTGGTAATAGCAAGTGAGCAACCACTCCGAGTCGTAGACCTGAACGGATTTGACTCTCCCCAGGGGGTGTTTTTCACAAGGTGGGATTCGAACGCTGGACCTCACTGAGGCCAGCTAACATTCGCCCACTTGCAGGCCTAGCCAGGATATCCACTAGACCAAACCCCTTGGGTCTTTTTGCTTAATCTTTTGGTTCTTCTGATGTGATGGTTAGCTACTATTTTACTATTTTCGTGTAAAATTTAAAATTGCACTTCACTTGGGCTTTGAATTGAAGGCGAATTGATGTTTGCAGTAAAATTGAATTATAGAATAGAATACTATGAGAGTATGATTACGTGGTACTTATTGTACACGTGTTATAATATGGGTGGGCAATAGAGTTTATTTTTCTCCCTTTTAGAGAATAATATCAATAAATATTTACTTATATCATGACATGTATACAAGATATACCACATGACCGTACAACCATAATATTCATACATTTTTTAAAGTCTATATATGGTATCAAATTGTACACAGATTAAAGCAGCTCATTATATTCTGTTGAAGGAACAAAATGAAGAAACAGTAAACATGGCCTGAGAGTCGCACATGAATATGCTATTATTACGCCCTTGTTGTTTTTGCAGGTGCCACCTAAACATTATTATATCATTACATGGTCCCAACTCTCCACACATAAAACATTTCCAATGAGCTCGATAGAGATAGAACTCCCTTATTGTAACCCCTCATTATAAAAACTCAGAGATAGAAAATATTAGAGTTAAACTTTTTTAATAATTAAATAGTTGAATTAAATCCCTCATTCAACCCCCTCCCCCCAACCTACCCGGCAACACATGTTTCATCTCTGTTTTCTGGTCTCTTCACACAATTACATCCATGCCCGTATTAGACGGTCATCGGCTTGTATAAATCATAGGGAGAGTCAACCTAGGAAATAAAATAAATAAATAAACGAGATGACGTCAAAAAGTGATCAATCTATATTTTAGCCTACGTTTCCTAAGATGATTTGGCACCATTACCGGCCTCGGTTACTCATAACCCTACTATTTTTGTAAAATAACGTGGTGGGTATCAGTGACCAGAAAAATAAGATACAAAAAATAGAGAAGTAACATCAACATTCACAAATAAGATAAGAGATCGAAATATAATCGATAGTTTAATGCTACCATTACACAAGTTTTTATTTTATATCTTATTTATTTTTCTGCAATCTCAAAAGTTGTATTGGGTCTAGACTCATTAGTTCATAAACTCACAGTCGATCTCAAAAATGCAAGGGAAAGAGCGAAAAGAATATGTAAAGGAAAAAATGGGGCTGGGCTGACTCACCCAAGTTCCACATATTGATGTGGAACTTTCTTGTTCATCAATCCTTTAATTTAAGCAAGTGCCACTATTCTACGCAAAAGCAAAACAAGGCAAAACGTCAACGACGCTGCACCAAGACCTAATAAAACGCCTAAGCTTGAACTCCAAGTTCCAAGAGTAGCGTGTGACTAAGAGCATTCGATGCTGGCCCATGAAATTGAATGGGACCTGCAATGAAAAAAATTCAGATGAGTTACAGAGGAATGCAGCGAGGGCTAAAATCGAAATTACAATAGACACATGGTTAACAACACCAAATAAAGAAAAAGAAAAAGAAAAGAATCGTGAAGTTCATAGAATGTTGGTAAGAATCACAAACCAGGACTGATGTAACGATTGTTGATAGCCCAATCTTTCCTCAGGGATGCAAATTTCTTGAAGGGTGCACCTGAAAATTCATTATGAATAGTTCATGTTAAGTTGTTTGTTGATTCAAGATTTGAGAGTGATCATTGTCACCTGATATGCTAAATCACTATGCCTACTACTAGCAGGAACAGAAATATTCTCAAAGAAAAATCTTTACCTTCAAGTTCCACCATTGCCTTCTTGATCACAGGCTTGAACTTACCTGGAAAACAAATTCAACATTCAGAAAATCTCCCAGTAATTTTGAAGAAACTTGAACGCCAAGTTACAGCCAAGTACATCAGACAAAAACTAAAAACCTAAACTACTATTCTAATGAAATTTCGTAAAAGACCAGAAAGGTCATTTATAGTGCCAACGAAAATTGTCATAATTATTTTTGGAGAGATGAATAGTATGCTGGTATGCCTAGGACCAGGACAAAGAACCTACAACTGCATAATAACAATAGCCAAAGGTTACTATACCATGTCTCCTCTCCACGTCCATTAATGAAGTCAATGCAGTCCCACCAACGGTCCATTCCTCCACAGGAGCAGCCAAATTCCCAACCTGGAGACACCTCACGAAATATTACATACATAAAAAGACTCATAGTCATAAATAATACAATTAGGACAATAAAAATCTGGATCCAACAGCAACTAATAGAAGAAAAACGGTTTGGCAGACTGAATAAACAAGAAATAGGATACAGGCACAAACCGATGATATCACCCCAGTTTTTCCACCCTGAAGGAGTGCTCCAGCAGCATAACCCAATGCATAGCAGTAGGTAGAATCAAAGTTGGTTGGTAAACCACATCTTCCTTCATACCTGCATAAATTACGAAACAGGTGAACTAACCAGGGATGCAAACCTTAAGCAATATGTCTCATACAGAAACCCTAAACCTGTATCCAAAATAAAATGATCAATCCACACAGTGAGTGCATCTGTTATCCTCGAGTCCAGACCCTAAACATGGGATGCACACACATGCAATCAACAAATCCACATCAAGCCAAAGTATTATGTCACTAGGTTCAAAAGATAATTACCCGAAAAAGTGAGACTGTCCTTTGAATTGGCCATTATATGAACCTTCCTGCCTTCTCTTCTCCAAGTCAGTCTCAACCATTTGAATAAGCATCTTCTCTGTTTCTATTTTGGCTACCTAGTGGTAGAAACAAAGATACAAAACATGATTATGCCCAGAAAATCCCCAGACAGGTGAAAGCCAAATAGAAAAATCATAAATGTACCTGAACATTTCCATGTGGATCTCTTTCAAGCATCAGTTGCTCTTGGATTGCTTCAGGTAGGAAATCAAAAAGCTGTAGAGACTGACTAGTAAGTTTATTTTTCCACAGCCCACCTTCATCTACGACGTCATGGGCCAGAATTTCATTCAATTCAGCAATAAGGTTCTGCACCTGAAAGTGGAAAGATTACAAACATTATATGTTAGTCAACACAGTTATTTGGGTGTGCATGTATGTGTGAAACAGTAGAACATTTGATTTCTAAGTAACATACAAAGAAAGATGAAGAGAGGAGGATGAAGAAGTTAATACATTAAAGATCAAGAATACTACCTCAGGAATGAAATCAATTAGACCTTCAGGAATAAGTATGACACCATAGTTATAACCAAGGTCAGCACGCTTCAAGATTATATTCACAATGTAGTCGGTGACATTTTTCAGAGTCTGCTTCTTTGCAGCAACCTGTAGGAAAATATTAGTTAGATACATACAGCAAATGGATATTTTTCATTGCAATAATAGATTATTTTGCAATATGGTATTTCAAAACATTCCTTTTCTTTGGATATTTGCACTATGTGGTTCTTTTATATAACCTTAACAATTGAGGATGATTAGCAATAATACAACATTTACAAAGAATAATCGAAGAGGCTCTTTGAAAGCAATACCTCTTCTCCAATAATTGTAATGTTTGGATGGGTTTGCAGCGCACACTCCAATGTAATGTGTGAGGCTGCACGCCCCATAAGCCGTACAACTGCAGACATACACTCTCAGTTAAATATTTATACTGAATACATGAACTTGAAAATATCTAAGCCAGAGAGAGAGGTGAGGAAATGTTGCCCTTAAACTGCATGCCAGCTATAAGACACCGTATTTGAAATAACAGCTATAAGCCGGCATATTTGAAATAACAGCTATAATACAGGTATCTCACCTTAACGTACCAAACATAAATATGTATAATTTTTATCAACTAGATGTAAATTCTATATACTTACAATGATAATATTTTCCAGTTGACCGGGCATCTATCATGACATTGCCAATCATTTCTGCATATATCTGCATAACGTTTTAACAGTCTATTAATATTATGCTGAACCAGCATGAATGGTAGCTAAATTTATCACGTAAGGTATCTAAATGCTCATGGCGCTCCCGTTGGTCAAGAAGAATTTAAACCTGATCATTACACAAATAATATAATAACACCAAGTATAGGCATATAAATTAACCAGAGAAACACAAAAATTATATGTTGAATATACGCAATGTCATTGCAAATAAATTAAAGGTGCTTTCATGTTTGTGATAGGAAAGATGAAAATGAACAAAAATAGAAAACGGAGGTGTAAAATGTGAGTTTATATTAGTAGTTATGGCCATCAAGAAAAAGTTTTAAAGGTTTTAGTCACCTTGCAAGCAGTGTCAAACCCAAAACTTGTGGGGACCTCTTTACATTTCAAGTCACCATCAATGGTTTTTGGGCAACCTATCACTCGAGTTTTCAAGTTCTTCCCCCTGGTTTAACAGATAAAAGAGAAAAATTACCAAACCAGAAAAACAATTATATCAAAAGAAAAGTTAAGCTACTCTTCTCATAGAAGAAAATTCCCACATCATTAGGTTTAATTTCAAGCAAATGATAGAAAAGGCTGCCACAAGCAGAGAAGAATGCAAGTTTCCTCTGACCAATAAAATCACTCCAAAGAAATTCATCACAACATACCTGAAGTTTTCAGCAAGGAGGCAGGCATTTGTGTTGGAGTCATCTCCGCCAATAACAACAAGGCCATCCAAATCCAGCTTCACAGCTGTTTCTTCTGCTTGTTTAAACTAAAATTCATATCCATTAAAAATTGTTAGCTGTCAATGGTTATATAAATATACTTAACATGAATTTCCTCACAAAGAAAACAAGAGTCACCTGCTCTGGAGTTTCAATCTTGTCCCTTCCACTACAAATCATATCAAAACCACCCTGGTAAGAAGAAAATTTGAGTATTACGTCATTATTTTCTTGATAAAATGCATCTGCACATATATAGCTAAGTACATGTGCAACACTTACAATGCTTACAATCTAAATACAGATGCGCATATCCTCATGATAGATTTATGTGCACGTACGTATACAATTACAGTGTTACATACTAATTGCTCCTTGCAACAAGTAACTTGAGGTAGAACCTTCACAAAACTAAGGGATTCACATCAAAATTCTCACCTGATTTCTGTAGGGATAAATATACTCGGAGTTAAGTTCAATGTATTTGTTTTTCATGATCCCAGCAGGCCCGCCCCTGAATCCATACAATGTGCTCCCTTTGGCACGGTCTTGCAAGTAATCTAACACCAAAACACAGATAGAACTCAACCAAAATTCAAAAACAATAGAAATTTAACAAAAAGGATCGAATTGATCATTAAGACACTCACCAAAAATTCCAGAAATCACATTGTGCCCTCCAGGTGCTTGGCCTCCAGATAAAACGACACCGATCTTCAACTTCTGCTGGGGTAGAGCAGAATCGAAGTCACTTGGCACCAACAGTGCAGATGGCTGACCGAAAACATTCGGAAACAGCTTTGCAATCTCATCTGAACAAAAAAAAAACAAAACGAACAGTCAAATACGGAAGAGAAAAAAACTAGAACACACAGAATCCACTGTTTGATCGCCAAGAAACAGCAGGAAAGTGAAAGTCCGAAAGAAAATATTATTTTGCACGTCAAATATTGTGCTTTTAATATCTAGAAAAACAAAAACAGAACGAAAATAACTTCACCAATACAACTAAATCTAACTGATTAAATCTAAGGTGAAACTGCAAAATCTTATAATCTTACGAAGTCGAAAGTCACCAAGATCAAACGCTACTATCGGTCGACCAACTAAAACTCACAGATCGGAGTAGAATATGAAAAGAAGAAACTGACCTGGATTGCCGGCGGCGGAGCTAGCGGGTCCGTCGACGACCTTGAAGGGCTTTGTGAGCACGGAAGGCAGAGGAAGCTTATGGTCAATGCGACTCGACTGAACTTCGCTGTAGACTGCGGCGACTCGGCCGGTGACTGGCGCAGCAACTGCCTCGCCGGCGGAGACACCACCATTAGCAACCAGTGAAGGTGTCATTGTTAAACCTAACACACACAGACAGCGTCTCCGAGATCTCTGAGTTTTAGGTGTGACTGCGAGCGAAGCGTGAATCTATTCAATTGTGTTTGACTCCCGACAGTGTGTGCGTGTTTAAATGAGGGGTTGAAAAGGGTAAGAACGTCTTTTTCTGGGTTTGGATTCTCCGCCTTGGAGCTGAATGAATGTTAGTTGTTGCCCATTCGATTCGAGGGTATTTTGGGAATTGGACGGACGAGATTTGTGGAAGAGGCGGTGCATAGTATGTTATGGTGGTCTAGAGGGCAGTGGATATTGGATGGCGGGTTTTGCGTGTAGGTAGATACCTAACCTTCTGGTGGTTGGTGGGCGCCAGAAATCCAGACGCAAAAGGCATATTCCGGATTCGAGATCCTTCGTTTGCGTTCAAATCAAGGGTACTTGGTGGCAAATCATTATTTGTGTAAACAACTGGGTAAATTACAGGCCCAGTTGCCTCAGACATTTTCGTCACCCAAATTGGGCTCAAATGAAAACCCAACAGTGAGGTCACTGGGCTGGACATAATTTCCCAAATTGGGCACAAATGAAAACCCAAAAGTGCACCCAAATCGGGCTCAAATGAAAACCCAACAGTGACGTCATTATAGAGAAGGGGATTGAATTCGGGTGTAAGGGAGCTGACGCCCAGTCTTGGCCGACTGGTCTAACACATGTCTACGTAATCTTAGCTTATGAGGCAAAATATTTTTAAGCAGTAATTAAGCAAATTGAACACAGAGAGAATGGCATAATACCTACCAACTACCAAGGCTTAACTCATAATTTAACACACATGGAGATGATGGAGGCAATACCCCTCTAATCAAAGATGTGGTGATGATTAGCCTACTACAAATCACTTTAATATCATATCATTAGGATGTTTATGCTTTAGCTTTGCTTTACTAATGAGGATCATCATAGCAACACCGACACGTGCCGCTATACTCATTTAACAACTTGGTTAGCAGCAATGATGGTTTTGTACATACAGATTAACTTAAACATATGATCATTTGTACATAATCCAAATTAATATGATCACATGCTAAACACCTTGTGCTTACATTTGATTTAATTTTCACTTTTCCTTTCTAGCTCGCTTTGTGTTCAATCTACAGGGAGGAATCCACAAAAGAGATTCTCACCAGCTGTATAAAATCCTTGTCGGATTTTCTGCATAATTGGATAAGGCAACATGCAGCATTAAACAAGTAGAGAAATTGGAGATTAAAAATATGCACAGAAGCTCCATTCAGCTCATTTTATACCTACTACAGTCTTTAATCAATAGGCTTCATGGAATTTGAACCCCAATGAGATGCTGCTTTCCATGTTATTAACCAAACTTTCAAAAGAAGGCCACCTAATACCAATGAGATGAGACCCTATAAAGAAAACTGTTAATTAAGGTCCACTTAAACATCATGATTACTTACTGGCTCAATTAACCAAACGAATGTTCCCCATTTGCCTTGTAATCTTTCACTAACTCACGTATTAAATGTCCTAAACACAAGACACAATCATGATAAACTTGCCCCACTTGCCAATTGTGCATAAATGATTTAATTTTGTCACAAAATTTTTCTTCAAAGCTCCAGCTTAATTCATGTCCAAGAATGAAAGCCTCCTCCAGTTCCAGGCAGCAGCAGAGCAAGAAGCAAGTCCAGCTTCAGCAGAGAGCATGCAGGGCTCTGTGTTGCAGCTGCAGGCTTAGTGTGTCTTCATCCAATTCAGAGGAGGTAGAAAGCTCAAGCTCTGATAGGTACCCTTCCATATCAAGCCTGTCACATGCCATGGTTCAAGAGAGATTGGACCAAATGATTAGAGAGAGGCAGGAGGCCTCAAGACATGTTGTAGATTGTCAAAAAAAAAAGCAGAGAGCAGGTGATCATCATCAACTTCAAGCAGGAGGAGGAACTAAATTCATTGTGATGGTTGCCATGGAAAAGTGCTCTTACGATCCAAGAGAGGATTTCAGGGAGTCCGTGGCGGAGATGATAATGGCGAACCGGATTGAAGAGCCCAAGGATCTTCGCAGCCTCTTGAATTATTATGTTTCCATGAATTCGGAGGAGTATCATGGGATTATACTCGAGGTGTTTCATGAAGTTTGCTCTGATTTATTCTTCTGTAAATTCCATTAATTGATGGCCACAGTGCTAATTATTTGAGCATACAAATGAAATGAGGATTATGGGATGATATTGAAGAGTTTGTCATTGTAGTTGTCCTTATGTAACTTAAGTCATGAGATGATTTTCATGATAATATTGTCTGATTACGGTTAGCTCAAGTGGTTAATAACACTTGGTAGTATTTAATTATGCACTCGAGGTCTTCGATTTTCCTCTTTCCAAGCAGGAAAAAGAACCAAATTTAAAGGCACAATGCAAAACAAACATTACACACCTTAATCAACGTATACAAATTTATATATATAAATCCAAATCACAATCGCAACTCAAACACAGGCATGATACTGAATCTCAATTAGCATACTATTTATGACAATTCCTTATTAGTAGTGAAGGAAGATTGAAGACAAATTAAAATTGTACAAATCATATAACGCTTCATGCTGGCTCTGTGATTCAGTTTGCCTTGGTCTTATCACATTTTCTCTTGGCAAAGCGGCCGAAGGGCAAGAGGAAATTCTGGTTAATTTGATCAAATATGACTTTGACAAACTGATACATAGGAAATTGCATCAGGCCAAATAGAGGGACAGGAAAAAGGGCGACAGAGTAAAGCAGAGACTTAGTCCATTTCTTCTCGACACGAATCAGAAGAAAAATACTAGCAGCGAAGGCTAGCTTGGTGGTTGCCATGGACAAGAAGAGCAAGATGAAACCGGTCATGAGCTTGCGGGGAAGACCGTGACAGAAAAATGGGTACTCAAGAGGAGAGGAGAGGATAGAGAGGAAAAAGGCCACCGAAGACAATGAGCAGGAGATGGCCGCGAGGTCCATGCAGGTGAAGATCCAGAAGAGAGGAGAGTCATTTGGTCCTTTATCACCAGGAATGGCGTAAGCTGCTGCAAAGACCACACCGGCGACGAGCACTGCCACGGTTGAGCACGACTGAGCTGTGTCTTTTATCCCTTCCTGTGCAGCTGTGCTGACTTCAGAAGCTCATTGTGCTGCTCGTTGAACAGCTCCTCCGCTGTTTGATCCCTGTTGTTTGCGATGCATAGTGTAATGAGGTGGTACTATATTTTTCACAAGCTGGAGACAAGAACATATATATAAGTCTAAGCCCAACGTTTGTCTTTTCAAAGACCAACTTTTGTTATTTACAAGTTATCAATACTATATTGTCAGTCCGTGAGTCCGTGACCGTCTCTTTTAAGTATGGATATAACGCGGATCTCACCAACGTCCATCGCAACTCAACTTGCAATTGCATGGCTGGACCAATTAATTTCTGAGCCATTGCTATAGAGTAATAGCTCCTATCTGCAGCTTGGTGCAATATGGTGTTGCCATCACCGTCAATCCTTGCATTCAACCTTGACCTTATTGTTGGCTTGCTTTCGATAAGCTCAAAGATCTCTTTTTGACGGTGCTTAATGGCCAGATGCAAAATGTTCTGTTGATCAACGCTACCGTGCTCAGCTGCCTGAGAATGCCAGTATCTCTTTAACAATAGGCACAAATCCTGTTAATGTAGCTATAAGCAATGGGGTATATTGACCAAAAAAAAAAGCAATGGGGTATAGGTATAAACTTTCTGCTTCTTAGATTTGGTTGGTCCTGCAGAACCCTTTCCTTTTTTATATCCTCCATGTTCCACTGGCACCACAGTCGTCTCGTCTTTTGCTTGTTTAGTATTCTGGCACGAATAACCTTTCTCGGCGAGCAAAGGGATGAGTTTCTCAACCAGCAAAAGGATCTGCCCCATAGGCTTGGTTGGTTCTGCGGAACCCTTTCCTTCTTGATCTCCTCCATCACACTCACCATTATTATTATTATTATTATGATTTTCCTCTGACCGCAGAGAAATCGTCTTGTCTTCTGCTGGTGTCGAATCCTGCCACGAATAGTCTTCCTCCACGAGCAAACGGATGACTTCCTTCAGATAATTTTTATTTTTCTTGTCCTTCCAGATCTTATAGATTATGCCATTTTCTATCCATCACGGTAAAGATCGGCACACGATTAGTTAATGTATAAGAGAATCAAATGAAAGAGAAATTAATTGAAGGGGCATAATTAAGCAAGCATGCAGACATATCTTGGCGAACATATATATATGCATCATCAAGTATAAATTAGGCCAGAAACTAAACAAACCTTTAGTAAGGAAGTTCCACATGGAAGTGTACACGTTCAGAATAACTGAAATTTTATGCATGCAACTTCATCAGGATCCTAGCTATATTATATAAGTTAGTAGTTAGTAGTTAGTAGTTCAACATATCCGGTTGACAATTAATTAGATTTACAAATGATTTTGATTACCTGCAAGCTTCTTCGGATGGATGGATTGGGGAGGCTGGTCGCTCGCGCAACCCAAGCGGCTCTCCACATCATCCTTTTTTTTTTAGGGGAGACCCAAGGGTATACACCGCCGACAGTAGTGACTAATCCCTTTCGCCGCGGGAGCTCTCCCAATGGAGGTAAACGGCTGGCCACAAAATGCCCTCCATTCTCATGGGCGGGGATCGAACCCCCAACCTCATGGTTAAGGAATGAGGTGAGCTACCACCACACCACATCTCATGGTTCTCTCCACATCATCCTTGACGACATCATTATCCTTGTGATTTGGTGTGACTAGATCTCCAACAGGAAGGCCTGCATGTACAACAAGAATTAATATATATGCATGTCATAGAACTTGAGCATCTGTTAACTTATATATACTGTAATTAATTAATGATAAATGAGCATCTTCCATTTGCTTTGTTGAAATACTGGATCTAAGGCAGTTGGCATTTGGGCTAGCAATTGAAGGCTTGTCAATCCTTCACCTTCCTTTCTTTGTGCAAGAAATTTGTAGTTCTTCTGCAACCAATGAGCAGTCTCTGCATATATTGGAAGCCAAAAAATGAGTACTATATATATCTATTAATTAATGTGCATATATATTGATTAATCGAGAGTGAAAGAGAAAGACCAAAATGTTGGCCAGTGACTGCGATATGAAGAATGGACATTCTATCATTTCGGTGGAAGTGCCTCAGAAGATTGTCTGGATTCTCCTTCTTGAGTTTGTCAGCAAAAAACTGGACCATGTCAGTGTGACCAAGAGCAGCTGCCCTGTAAATTGGCGACTCTCCTAAATTGTTCCGAATCTCTAGCAGATGCCAATTCTCATCATCATTACTACTAGCAGGAGGCTTATTGAATTTGCTCAGTAAGAACTCTGCTGCCACCCGCGTGTTTATTCGGACGCCTCAAGGCCCTGCATTTATCATCAGAAGGCAGTAAATTAATCAAGAATTCAAGGACGTGTTTGCCCAGTGATTTGCTGCAGCAGGAAGCTGCAATGTGCAATGCAGTGTCATCGTCCGCCGTCAATGGATGATCCAATATTTGCGGATGGTCCTTGTAGTATTTCTTCATGCCTTCCCAGTCATTCTCCATGGCTAGAGCATAAGGAAGTTTCAATTCTTCAATTTTATTTGCTCCCTTTTCATCCTTATGAAGAACCTCTACTGTATTCCAATACTTGTTTTTGTGTGCCATCTCTGGGTACTCCAGCCAGCTCTACCTTCTCCTGCTGTGTGGTGGTTTTCGCTTTGTTTTATAGCTATAGGCTAGATGCTCCTTCTTGCACAAGAACTTTCCTACTTTCGCTTTACTTACATTGTAGAGGAATATTGTACACTAACAGAAGTTGAAAAATATAAAAGCATAATGTATAAAAGCATAAGGTTTACTATCTATCTGTATGCTTGACCGATCCGAATCTGCCTTTGCTGATTTAATTGGTTTCCGATTGTAAATTCTGTGAACCGAGTGTGTGCGCCACAAGAATGTCTCCCCGCAGGATCTTGAAGTGACTTGCACGGGGTGACGTCCTTGATGTCACTCGTTTTCATGAACCTCTACAATGGGAGCAGGTAGAAATGGAGGATTAAAAGAAAAGTGGGCCTTGCACATGATACTCATCACTTAAGGTAAAAAGACAAAAAACACCCATGCCACATTTTCGAAACAAACAGAATTATGAATGGAGATGACGGCATGAGGCAAAGTGGAACATCGAATCTTGGTAAGGGTGCAAAGTGGGCCATTTTGACTTCAAGAGGACAATATAGGATTTGACCATAGTTTCGAGGGCACTACAATAAATAAGCCTTGTTAATATTACACCATACTTTAAACTTTTTAATTTAAATGGAAGGGCAAAAGTGCACTTTAGGCTCTTCAAAAAATATATGGATCTCATAAAATAAAATAAAATTTTACAATAATTGAAGTGTCATGTTATAGATCGTTAGATTATTGCAACAAAATAAAGATGAAGTGAAATGCGGGTAAATGTGTAGATTATAAATACAAAGGCTCGGGATCCCTAGATTAATAGTACCACGTGTGGTGTGATGATGACAATCAAGACTTTTCTAAAGGAATATTGTAAACTTGGATATGTATAAATATATATACTTTGCTTAATTAATTAACTAGTAAAGTTGGAAAATGTAAAGCATACATTGAATAATATTAGGCCCCGTTTGGTTCATGGGAAAGGAGACTTGGGGATGAGAAATCAATTGTTTTTCCATGTTTGGTAAGTCCAGGTATGAGAAATCGTTGCTTGGCCCATGGGAAAGTAGGGGGGAAAGTGAAGCCATCCTCCTAATTTGGGTTTTGTTTTCCCTCCTCGTGGGAAACTTTGGGAAAAGGAGCCAATATTAAATGAACATTTTTCATGACCATTTTGTCCCTATCGACAATTTAGAATTACAATATATCATTAAATGCATTCTTTTTTTATTTGATTTAATATGGGTATAATTGAAAATTTATACAAACTTTGTTTTCTATTCCTACTCAAAACAAACATTGGAAATGAAATAAAGTGATATCTCTCGGTCACTTTCCCAGCATTACCAAATGTAGGAAAGGAATCTTCAATTTCCCATCTCTTGGGAAATTCGTCAAATTCATTCCGTGAACCAAACGGGGCCTTAAGGTTTACTATCCATCTGTATGCTTGATCGATCCGTATAGGGATCTACCTTTGCTTAGTTAATTAGTTTAGAATTGTAGATTCTGTAAACGAGTGTGTGCAGCACATGGATGTCCTTTTGCAATGAAATTAAGAAAGCTGCATTTAACTTGTGGGTTTATTTATTTTTATTTTTTTACACCTTAGATGGGGTTGTGATAGAGAGATTACGGGCATGTGGTGCATCTTGTACACGTGTTATAATATAAGTGGATATTTATTGATACTATTATCTTAAAAGGGAAAAAATAAACTATGTTGTATACCTATATTATTATAATATAATATTTATTGATAATATTCCCAAATGGCTGTTGAGGTGTTCTTACAATTGTTACAGTATTCGAATTTGGTAGTAACAACATAACTACAGCTATCCCCTTTCATCCGTCTCACGCTATGCTCAAGAAATGCATGCATAACATTAGGGAAAATGCTAGGCTTACCACATTTTTCATACCACATTGTATATCACCTCTCTAATAGAGGTGGGCCCCATTGTATTGGTGGGCTCCACTTCTATTAGAGATGTGGTATACAATGTGGTTTGAAAAATGTGGTAAGCCAACCAAGGTGGTTGGTGTGAGTGGTTCGGCACTCTCATTCCTTAAGAGAGGTCAGGGGTTCGATCCCTGCTCTTGTACAGAGTCACCACTTTGGCCAGCACTTTACCCCTTACGGGCCGACCCGGTGTGAGCGGGGATTAGTCTGGGTTGTGGTTAAGGCTTAAAGGTGCCACCCATAGTTGGGGCCCATCTAGGACCACCTCGTGGTTCAATGTGCTGGAAGTCATCATTATTAGTGACATAAAACACCCACTTGGAATAAACAAAGAGAAAGAAACCAATTCTTTCTCAAAGTGGACAGCTCCAACGGACAAATAAAGGAACCCAAAATGTCACCAACCAATTAGACTCCCCCACAAAATAATGTCCAAAACTATACATTATTTATGCACCATGATTTTCTCCACTTTTCCATCTTGCTTTCGGCTGCCTAATTAATAGAAGTGCAAAAGCACTCCACCAAAACTCCATCACGTGAAACTCACAACATTAAGGTAGGTGCCCATAACAAAACACATCACAAGCAAATTTGAGCCAATTTCAACAATCTCCACCTTGGCACAAATTTACCAAGCCACACAGTAGAACTTTCTATCGCCCATCTTCCTCTTACCAAATCAAGCTCAAGCACTCCTTGAACTTGCAACCGAAAATGTGTGCTTCAATCGAACCGGATGACCCCAACAGAAGAACCTCTTCTATCATCCTCATAACCAAGCCACACCAGCTGAATGTACGTGCATAAACCGCACAAAACCTTAAACGCTTGAACCTCAAGCTTCTTCCGCTACAATACACGTAGAGTCCGGACAACCAAGTAGCAGAACGAACAATTTCAGCTGCTATAGGAGGGAATCATCCTCCCAAAAGATAACCCGTTACAATCAAAAACCCTCACTTGAAAATCTAATGATCAAAGGAAAAAACTCATGTAGCCATAAACAATGCTACCCAAAGTACATAGAGAAAATCAAAGCAACAAACTACACACTACCCACAAGGAACACCCACGAAAACTCTTGAAACTCCACCGTAAAGAAAATTTCAAAAGTCACCAAAGACAAGTAAAAAATCACACCCCAAGCACGGCACACCGGAATCATCGATCATAGGAGGAACATAAATTTTATCCTCCCTACGACATCCACAAAAGCACCTGCAAGAGGAATTATTAGACTCTTTTTCTTTCTTTGACTGATGGGCAATCAAATCTCATATGCCCGTTCCTTGTGGAAAAGTTGCATTTGTCCTCCTGAGCATTCATCTTGGAACGCGATTTTCCTCCATTACTGGTTGGTCCTCATCATCCTATTTTCATATTCATGACCTACACATTCATGAAAATCTCATTTAACTCAACAAGATAGTTTTGACTAAGTGTACCTTCCGCCATACCACTGAGTGTACAATCGTTGTTTGGCATACAACCGATTGACAATGATTTGGTCATATATGTATTCTCCACCATTTCAGCCATAGCCCAGCATGTGTAGTCTCATCGGCAACCTCACGAAGAACACCGTCCGCTAACTGCAACCCAATCGCAGTGAGTGCCCAATTCAAGACATCATCCTTCTCCATCGTTGGAACACGTTGCTGGCCATGCTTAGATACCCTTTAGCACCTTTTGAGCAGCCCCTGTTGCAATAACAAGGCTCTCATCTTCAACACCAAAGTCTGGAATTTTTCTCCTGTCAAAATAATTTAATATTTTCTCAACGTCTCCTGGTTCCATCATCACGAACACAAAACTCCACCAGATCGAAAAAACTGGAGCTCTGATACCACTTGTTGTGCGCAGCGGAAGCGGATTGCTGGGTTCGATCCCTGCTCTTGTACAGAGTCACCACTTTGGCCAGCACTTTACCCCTTACGGGCCGACCCAGTGTGAGCGGGGATTAGTCTGGGTTGTGGTTAAGGCTTAAAGGTGCCACCCATAGTTGGGGCCCATCTAGGACCACCTCGTGGTTCATACCAAAAAAAAAAAAAAACATGTGGTAAGCCTAGCATTACCCTAAAATTAGACATGTTTGTCCTCGGGAACTTAGCCCACTTGCCAATTGTGGATAAATGATTAGTGTTGCACAAATTTTCCTTCAAAAAGCTCCAACTTAATTCACGTCCAAGAGCGAAGGCCTCCAATTCCAGGCAGCAATAGAGAAAGAAGCTGGTCCATCTTCAACAGAGACATGCAGGGTTCTGTGTTGCAGTTGCAGCCTCCAATTTTAAAAATATTTTTTTGGCGTTCTTTAATTATGTTAAGCATACAAATGAAATGAGGTTCATGAAATAATTTTGTTTGTTTACGGTAGCTTGCTCAAGTGGTTAATAACATTTAATAGCACTTGAGGTCTCCAGTTCTCCTGTTCCCAAGAAATTAAAGGCATAGAAGCAAGTCTTATATGCTGAATAAACATTAGACACCTTAACCAGCAGATACAAATGTGTATATATAAACCCAAATCACAAAGCAAATCAAACGGAAGCATGATACTGAATCTTTATTAGCATACAATTAATGACAAGCCTCTTCAATATTCTTCTTATTGTCCATATTAATTGGGAATGAAGATTGAAGACACATTAAAATTGTACAAATCATACTGCTTCATGCTAGCTTTGTGATTCAGTTCGCCTTGTCCTTACCACACACCCTCTTCGGAAAGCCGAGAAAGGGGCGGAAAATCTTGGTAATTTTCCGATATATATCTTTGAAAGACTGGAACATTGGAAATTGCAACAAGCCAAATAGAGGGACTGGAAAAAAGGCAATAGAGTAAAGCAGAGACTTAGTCCATTTCTTCTCAATACGAATCACAAGCAAAATGGTAGCAGCGAAGGCGAGCATGGTGGCTGCCATTGACAAGAAGAGCAAGGTGAACCCGATCATGAGCTTGCGGGGAAGACCGTGACAGAAAAACGGGTACTCAAGGGGAGAGGAGAGGATAGAGAGGAAAAAGGCTACTGAAGACAATGAGCAGGCGATGGCCAAGACGTCCATGCAGGTGAAGAGCCAGAAGAGAGGAGAATCATGGTAAACAGGAAGGCCATTTGGTTCGGTACCCCCAGGAATGGTGTAGGCGGCTGCAAAGACCACAGTGGCCACCAGCACCGCCACGGTTGAGCATGACGCAGCTGTGTCTTTTATCCATTGTTGTGCCGACTCCAGAAGCTTATTATGCTGATCATTGAACAGCTCCTCCGCTGTCTGACCCTCCTTGTTGTGGTGCATGATGTAATGCCGTGGCGCTATCTTTTTCACACGCTGGAAACAAGAACATACATTTATCAAGTTGACCGACGGACTAGCTAGTAACATAAGCATTTGTCTGAGAACATATATAAGTCTAAGCCCGGCCAGTATATATTTACAGGAACTCTCAGTGCATGAAGTTTGTTTTTTAAAGACATACGTTTTGTTATTGACATGTGATCGATACTATATTGTCAGTCCGTCCTTAACCTCAGAGAAGAAATGTGTAATTAAGTACTTATGAATATAAAAGGGAACTCACCAACATCCAACGCAACTCTTCTTGCAATTGCATGGCTGGACCAATTAATTTTTGAGACATTGCTACAGAGTAGTAACTCCTATCTGCAGCTTGGTGCAATATGCTGTTGCCTTTATGGTCAATCCTCGCATTCAACCTATACTTTATTGTTGGCTTGTTTTTGAAAATATTAAGGATCTCTTTTCGACGGTGCTTAATGGCCAGATGCAAAATGTTCTGTTCCTCATGGCTAACGTGCTCAGCTGCCTGAGGATGCTGCTTAAGTATCTCTTTAACAATAGGCGCAATTCCAGTGATAGTTGCTATGAGCAATGGGGTATAGTTATAAAGATACTGCTTCTTGGATTTGTTTGATACTGCAGAACCATTTCCTTTTTCATCTCCTTCATTATTACTAACATTTACCCCTACGGCCCCCAGATCAATGGTCTTGTCTTCTGCTTTATTAGAATTCTGCCATGAATGGTCTTCCTTGACGAACAAGCCGACAAGTTCCTCTAGAGAATTTTGATTTCTCTTGTCCTTCCAGATCTTTTTGATTATGCCAATTTCTATCCATCACGATGATCACCGTCAAGATTATACACGATAAGATAATGTATAAGAGAATCAAATGAAAGAGAAATTAATTATTGAAGGGGTATAATTAAGCAAGCATGCATCCATATCTTGGCGAACATATATATGCACCATCAAGTATAAATTAGGCCAGAAACTAAACAAACCTTTAGCAAGGAAGTTCCACATGGAAGTGTACTTCAGAATAACTGAAATTTTATGCATGCAAACTTCATCAGGATCCTAGCTACATTAAACTTGTACATACATTATACATATATATATTGTTGAAAGTTAAACCAAGCCAAAGGAATCCAAAGCCAAGTTTTATATTTTATCCATTTTGAGAATGAGAGCATCTTGTAGGCTAGATATGCTTTGTTTATTGGCTCAATGAGCTAATTTTGTATTATGAGGCATGTTGATGTCTCTAGGCAACTTTTCTCTTTTTGCTGAAAAGTCTCTATGTCTCTCAAAGAGACGTTGTCTCTATTTTGTAATGAGTGTTGTAGCAAAACTTTTTATCTTTGAGTGTGAACTCATCTGTGAGGTTGCTTCAGCTTTTTTCTCTCTATTCTTTCTGAGTTTATGTGAGAACATTTTGCTGCTTGAGCATTGAGAAGCTGCGTTGTTGATCCTGGCATTTTGAGTATTTTTGTTTTTCTACATATATATACATAAATTCTCCTATGTGAACATCCGGACATTATTATTGTGCGGAAGCCATGTATTTTGTACCACCCTTCCTTGCTTTCCTATCTGTTTACAATAGCATCCGCACAATAATAACGTGTGCACATCCGGATAAGAGAATATATATATATATATATGTGTGTGTGTGTGTGTGGTGTGTGTGTGTGTAAGTTAGTAGTTCAACATCTCCGGTTGACAATTAATTAGATTTACAAATTATTTTGATTACCTGCAAGCTTCTTCCGACAGATGGATTGGGGATGCTCGCTACACAAGCAGTTCTCCACATCATCCTTGACGGCATCATTATCCTTGTGATTTGGTGTGACCAGATCTCCAACAGGAAGGCCTGCATGTATAACAAGAATTAATATATATATATATATATATGCATGTCATAGAACTTGAGCGTCTGTTAACTCATATAGTGTAATTAATTAATTAATGCAAGGCTTAGCAATAATACAATGATAAATGAGCATCTTCCATTTGCTTTGTTGAAATTCTGGTTCGAAGGCAGTTGGCATTTGGGATAGCAATTGAAGGCTTGTCAATCCCTTTTCTTCCCTTTTAGGTGCAAGAAATGGGTACTTCCTCTGCAACCAAAGAGCAGTCTCTGCATATTGGAAGCCAAAAGAGCAGTATCTATTAACGTGCATGTGTAGTAAGTTGAATATTAATTAATTGATTAATTGAGAGAGAGAGAGAGAGAGAGAGAGAGAGAGAGAGAGAGACCAAATTGTTGGGCAATGACTGCGATATGAAGAATGGACTTTTCATCATTTCGGTGGAAGTGCCTCTGAAGATTCCCCGGATTCTCCTTCTCCAGTTTGTCAGCAAAAAACTGGACCAGTTGAGGGTGACCAAGAGCAGCAGCCCTGTACACTGGCGATTCTCCTAAATTGTTCCGAAGCTCTAGCAGAGGCAGTTTACAATTGTCATCATCACTACTACTAGTTGTGGTGATTTCTTCTGCAGGCGCCGGCTTATTGAAGTTGCTCACTAAGAACTCAGCTGCCTTCAGATTGCCGGACACAGCCACCTCGTGGAGAACGTTGTTGCCGTGGTTATTCGGATGCCTTAAGGCCTTGCATTTTTCATCACAGCTTGGCAGTAAGTTAATCAAGAATTCAAGGACTTGTTTGGCCAGTTTTTCGCTGCAGCAGGAAGCTGCAATGTGCAATGCAGTGTCTCCTTCCAGCGTCATCGGACTTTTCAATTCTTGTGGATGTTTCTTGTAGTATTCCTGCATGCCTTTCCAGTCATTCACCATAGCCTGATCATAAGGTTTTTCCAGCACTTCAATTTTACTTGGACTCTTTCCCTCGTTCTCGTTTTTAAAAACTGCTTCCGTTTTCCAGTAGCCCATCTTTTCGTGATGCTGTGTGGCTAGCTGCTCCTACTTGTACGAGAAATTAACAATGTGCATGCTATCTAGCTTCCTATTGTGCGACTGAATATATAGCAGGAAACAAAAGAGGACTCTCCGACAATTGGAGTATTTCCTCTGTTTCATTCAAAGAATAATGAGTAGAATCAAGAATATAATTGTGTTGCGTGGGATTGCGTGGACACAGCCATTATTACTAATTCATGGCTTTCATTTCACAGGAGGAGGAGAAATCGGGGGAGCCATAGAGGATCAGATACCGTTAGGTGATTAAAGTGTAGGAATATTATTATCTGTAAACTTTGACAGATATAAATAATAGAATTGCATTCGCACAAGGCAAGCGATGAGAGAAAAGTGAGAAAGGACTCAATCAATCAGACAAACGGAAATTGTTCTTGGTATTATTAATGGTGTGGAATCAATTCTCAGAGGGTGTAATCCTATTACAAGATACTTTTCCACTGTTGCCATGTTGTGAAAAATGGACAAACACTTTCACTCACTCCCCTAATGATCTTGTTGTTGATGGACTTTGTGACACACACAATGATGGATGAATCACACACACACTCTTGAGACAACAACCAAGCATAAAGTGACACAAGAATTTATAGAGGTTCAGCAATTGCCTACATCCTCTTGGTGATCCCCTTGAGAAATTCACTTCATGAAAGAATAAGTTACAACTTTGGTTTTACACAGAAAAACCCCCTTAGAACTCTATTCTCTCTCCAAGCTCTCTTTTCTCTCACACCCCTTGCTCAACACTTTGATGCACTTGTGAACACTCTCACAACCCTTGGTGTTTCCCCCTTTGGTGTCTAGACTCTCAAGACCCCAACTCAGCTCCTAACTTGAACTGATTGCTCTCCCTCACGTTCTCCCTTGGTGAGTTAACCTCATTTGAACACAATAGCACCCAGCTACTTGACCACCTTGAGATTAACCACTTTTAACTTCAACTTGCTTTCTCATCTTATAATGTCTTGCTTTATCTCCATTACCTACACAAACCAATGGACACAAGATAAGGCACCATCTTGTCTTCCACGTTCCTTCCTTTAGTCTCCCACTTAGACTAAAGATCAGATCATGCAAGTAAACAACTCCCACTTCAGCCACCTTCCACTACACCAGAAAATGGAGAGTGAATCTTTCAAAGCAAGACAAACAATTGGCAATGAGTGCTCTCCCAACTATCCAGCAGGTAGTCAACCCTCTTTTACCTCAGAAGTGACCCACTAAGCCTCTGAAATCTTGTGGAAAGCGATAGCCCTCGAAAACACAGTTGAAAACACGTAAGAAAACGTCACAGCACGATTTGGGAGAGTCGAAACACTTTGAATCTGTGCTAGGGCTGCCATGGCTGTTGAGGTTGTTCTTAGAATTGTTGTTACAGTATTCAAATTTAATTATTGCATTATCAACAACAAAATCTTAGCTATCCCATGTTTCATGATCCATCTCATGCTAAGCAAATGCAATCCCTCTGCTCAAGAAACAGAGCACAAATTTAGACCAAACTTTTAATTTTCACTGAAACAGAGGATGGAGGCATGTTTATTTGTCCTTGAGAACCTGGCCCAAGTGAGGATGGAGCCTTGTCAATCCTTTACCTTCCTTTCTTTGTCAATCCATTTGCTTTGTTCCCAGTCATTTTGTTTGTTTACGGTAGCTTGCTCAAGTGGTTAATAACATTTAATAGCACTTGAGGTCTCCGGTTCTCCTGTTCCCAAGAAATTAAAGGCACAGAAGCAAGTCTTATATGCTAAATAAACATTAGACACCTTAACCAGCAGATACAAATGTGTATATATAAACCCAAATCACAAAGCAAATCAAACAGAAGCATGATACTGAATCTTTATTAGCATACAATTAATGACAAGCCTCTTCAATATTCTTCTTATTGTCCATATTAATTGGGAATGAAGATTTAAGACACATTAAAATTGTACAAATCATATACTGCTTCATGCTAGCTTCGTGATTTACTTCGCCTTGCTCTTACCAAGCACCCTATTTCGAAAAGCCGAGAAGGGGTGGAAAATCTTGGTAATTTTCCGATATATATCTTTGAAAGACTGGAACATAGGAAATTGCAGCAAGCCAAATAGAGGGACTGGAAAAAAGGCAATAGAGTAAAGCAGAGACTTAGTCCATTTCTTCTCAATATGAATCACAAGCAAAATGGTAGCAGCGAAGGCGAGCATGGTGGTTGCCATTGACAAGAAGAGCAAGGTGAACCCAATCATGAGCTTGCGGGGAAGACCATGACAGAAAAACGGGTACTCAAGGGGAGAGGAGAGAATAGAGAGGAAAAAGGCTACCGAAGACAATGAGCAGGCGATGGCCACAACGTCCATGCAGGTGAAGAGCCAGAAGAGAGGAGAATCATGGAAAACAGGAAGGCCATTTGGTTCGGTACCCCCAGGCATGGTGTAGGCGGCTGCAAAGACAACGGTGGCCACCAGCACCGCCACAGTTGAGCACGACTGTGCTGTGTCTTTTATCCATTCTTGTGCGGACTTCAGAAGCTCATTATGCTCATCATTGAACAGCTCCTCCGCTGTCTGATCCTTGTTGTTGTGGTGCATGATGTAATGAGGTGGTAATATGTTCTTCACACCCTGGACAAAAGAACACACACATTTATCAAGTTGACCGACGGACTAGCAATTTATGAGTATGGGAAGAATGTTCTGCATTGGAAAGTTAAGAAACCTCGCAATGGCCAATTGGTTAGCATGAACATTTTGTTTTATCTATTGTCAGTCTGTCCTTCTCGTTCAGAGAAGAAATGTATAATAAAGTAAATGTGAATATAAAAGGCATCTCACCATCGTCCAATGCAACTCTGCTTGCAATTGCATGGCTGGGCCAATTAATTTCTCAGAAATTGCTACAGAGTAGTAGCTCCTATCTGCAGCTTGGTGCAATATGGTGTTGCCATCACTGTCAATCATCTCATTCAACCTTGAGATGGTTATTGGCTTCCTTTTTAGAAGCTCAAGGATCTCTCTTTGACGGTGCTTAATGGCCAGATGCAAAATGTTCTGTTCACTATAGCTAACGTGCTCAACTGCTTGAGGATGCTGCCTAAGTATCTCTGCAACAATAGGCACAATTCCAGTGATAGTTGCTATAAGCAATGGGTTATACTTATAAATGCTCTGCTTCTTAGAATTGGTTGGTTCTGTGGAATCCTTTCCTTTTTGGTCTCCTCCATCATTATCACCCTTACAAAGATTTTCCACTGACCCCAGAGAAATCGTCTTGCCTTTTGCTTCTTTAGAATTCTGCCATGAATTGTCTTTCTCGACGAGCAAAGGGATAAGGTTTTTAAGAGCATGTTTAATTCTCTTATCCTTCCAGATCTTTTCGATTATGTCCATTTCTATCCATCATGGCCAAGCTTACTCGATTAGTTCATGTATAAGAGAATCAAATGAAAGAGAAATGAATTAAGCGCTATAATTAAGCAAGCATGCATGCATCATAAAGTATAGAAAAGCCAGAAACTAAGCAACCTTTAGCAAGGAAGTCCCACAGGGAAGTGTACACCTTCAGAATACCTGCAATGTTATGCATGCAACTTCATCAGGATCCTAGTTATATTAAACTTGTATATAAATATTAGTTCAAAAAATCTGGTTAACAATTAAATAGATCTCAAATTATTTTGATTACCTTCAGGCTTCTTCCATGAGATGGCTTGGGGGGGTTGGTGTTGTGCGCAGCGGAAGCGGATTGCACTGTGGTGGTTGATATGAAACCATTGAAACAACAAGAGCAAACTATGAAATACAGAAATCCAAACGACACAAGGATTTATACTGGTTCGGCCCGTGTGTAGCCTACATCCAGTTCGAAGACAGCGAGAAATTCCACTAGTATCCCAAAAGAGATTACAACCAAAGGAGATTAACCCTCTCACCTACCCTAGGAATTACAGAGTTTAACTCTCACAACCCAAATCCCAAATACACCCAAGTCACTCACACACCGATACTAAAAGAGAGAACAAATAGTGCCACACCCAAAGACCAGTAGAGAAATGGATTTTTCTCTCACTGATCAGACAAGCAAACGTCTTCAAATGTGCAGCCACAACAAAGAGGAGCAGCAGCTCCTTTATCTCCCTCTCTCACATGGTGCAAACGGCACCTCCAAGATGGTGCGACACACTGCCCACACACACCTCACTTGCATGATTCCTTTCTCCCTTTTATAAACCCATGCAGCAACTCTCCAAATGAGAGAGAAACCGCATGCCAAAGAAAGTCACATGATGGTCAGTCAAATTCTATCATTTCGGTGGAAGTGCCTCCGAAGATTCTCCGGATTCTCCTCCAGTTTTTCAGCAAAAAACTGGACCAGGTCAGGGTGACCAAGAGCAGCAGCCCTGTACAATGGCGATTCTCCTAACTCGTTCCGAATATCTATCAGAGGTGTAGAATTCTCCTCGTTACTAGTAGGTTTGTTGAAGTTCCTCACTAAGAAAGTTGCTGCCTCCAGATTGCCGGACATCGCCACCTCGTGAAGAACGTTGTTGCCAAGTTTATTTGGAACTCTCACGGCCTTGCATCTTTCATCATAGCTTGGTGGCAGTAAATTAATCAAGAATTCAAGGACTTGTTTGCCCTGTGATTTGCTCCTGCAGCAGGAAGCTACAATGTGCAATGCAGTGTCTTCGTCCACTGTCATTGGACAATTCAGATTTTGCCGATTGTCCACATAGTATCTCTTCATGCCTTCCCAGTCATTCTCCATGGCTAGATCATAAGGAAGTTTCAGTTCTTCAATTTTACTTGCACTCTCTCCCACTCCCTCTTCTTTAAGAACATCTTCCGTGTACGCCATATCTGCTTGCTCTATCTCTAAGTCCTCCATCCCTACTTGCTCCTCCTCTGTGTGGTGGTTTTTGCTTCATTTTATACCTAGGCTAGCTGCTCCTTTTGTATAAGAAATTCTTATGTGCAACTGTTAAACTTTGATACTTTGCTTAATAAATTAACCAAGTTGAAAAATATAAGCATAAATGAATGTTGAAGGTTACTAGCTGTATATGTTGAGAGTATTTGTCTCACATTGAAATGTTAAGGGACTTAGCCTGGTTTATAAGGAGTTGGGCTACTCCCCCCATTGCCAATTAGTTTTGGGGTGGAACCTCAACTTCCTTCATAGTTATCAGAGCAAGGCTTCACGTGTTGCAACTTCCTTCAGTATACAGGATCTGTACTGTACGGGGATCTGCCTTTGCTTAGTTCATTTGTTTAAGATTGAAGACTTTGATATACAATACTTCGCTTAATAAATTCCAGTGATAGTTGCTTTGATCAATGGGGTATAGTTATAAAGATGATGCTTCTTGGATTTGTTTGATACTGCAGAACCATTTCCTTTTTCATCTCCCTCATTATTACTAACATTTTCCACTACTGCCCCCAGATTAACGGTCTCGTCTTTCGCTTTTTTAGAATTCTGCCATGAATGGTCTTCCTTGACGAACAACGGGACAATTCCAGATGTTATCAATTATGCCAATTTCTATCCATCACGATGATCACCATCAAGATTATACACGATAAGTTAATGTACAAGAGAATCAAATGAAAGAGAAATTAATTGAAGGAATATAATTAAGCAAGCATGCACACATGCATCTTGGCTTTTATTTTGCAAGCATGTGTTGCGTGGGATGTGCGTGGACACAGCCGTTATTACTAATTCCTGGCTTTCATTTCACAGGAGGAGGAGAAATCGGAGGAGCCATAGAGGATCAAATACCGTTAGGTGATTAAAATGTAGGAATATTATTGTCTGTAAACTTTGACAGATAAAAATAATAGAATTGCATTCGCACAAGGCAAGTGATGAGAGAAAAGTGAGAAAGGACTCAATCAATCAGACAAAAGGAAATTGTTCTTACTATTATTAATGGCGTGGAATCAATTCTCAGAGGGTGTAATCCTATTACAAGATATTTTTCACAAGGAATAGAAAGCTACATTTTACATTTACAACTTAAATCCAATGTTGCCATGGCTGTTGAGGTTATTCTGTAAACTTAAATCCACTGTTTCATGATCCATCTCACGCTATGCAAATGCAATCACTCTGCTCAAGAAACTGAGCATAAATTTAGACCAGACTTATATTTTTCACTGAAACAGAGCATGGAGGCATGTTTATTTGTCCTTGAGAAACTGGCCCAAGTGAGAACTCAAGAATTTATCATCGTTGTTGTTGACCTTAATTCATAAGACGCTTTTCATGCTAACTTGTGTTTATGGTAGCTCAAGCGATATATATATCATTTAATTTTGCAAATCATTTCTCCTCTTCCCTAACAGGAAAAAACACCAAATTCTAAGGCACAAAAGCAAGTCTTATGAGCAAAATAAACATTAGACACATTAACTAGCATATACAAATCACAAAGCAAATCAAACAGAAGCATGATACTGAATCTTTATTAGCATACAATTAATGACAAGCCTCTTCAATATTCTTCTTATTGTCCATATTAATTGGGAATGAAGATTGAAGACACATTAAAATTGTACAAATCATGTACTGCTTCATGCTAGCTTTGTGATTCAGTTCGCCCTGCTCTTGCCACATATTGATCTCCTCTTCGAAAAGCCGAGAAAGGGAATGAAGAAAGGGCGGAAAATCTTGGTAACTTTCTGATACATAGGAAATTGCAGCAAGCCAAATAGAGGGACCGGAAAAAACGCAATACAGTAAAGCAGAGATTTGGTCCATTTCTTCTCGATACGAATCACAAGCAAAATGGTAGCAGCAAAGGCGAGCATGGTGGTTGCCATGGACAAGAAGAGCAAGGTGAACCCGATCATGAGCTTGCGGGGAAGACCGTGACAGAAAAACGGGTACTCAAGGGGCGAGGAGAGGATGGAGAGGAAAAAGGCTACGGAAGACAATGAGCAGGCGATGGCCACGACGTCCATGCAGGTGAAGAGCCAGAAGAGTGGAGAATCGTGGAAAACAGGAAGGCCATTTGGTTCGTTACCCCCAGGCATGGCGTAGGCGGCTGCAAAGACAACGGTGGCCACCAGCACCGCCACAGTTGAGCACGACTGTGCTGTGTCTTTTATCCATTCTTGTGCGGACTTCAGAAGCTCATTATGCTCATCATTGAACAGCTCCTCCGCTGTCTGATCCTTGTTGTTGTGGTGCATGATGTAATGAGGTGGTAATATGTTCTTCACACCCTGGACACAAGAACACACACATTTATCAAGTTGACCGACGGACTAGCAAGTTGTGAGTATGTGAAGAATGTTCTGCATTGGAAAGTTAAGAAATCTCACAACGGCCAATTGGTTAGCATTTTATCTACTGTCAGTCTGTCCTTCTCGTTCAGAGAAGAAATGTATAATTAAGTAAATGTGAATATAAAAGGGATCTCACCATCATCCAACGCAATTCTGCTTGCAATTGCATGGCTGGGCCAATTAATTTCTCAGAAATTGCTACAGAGTAGTAGCTCCTATCTGCAGCTTGGTGCAATATGGTGTTGCCATCACTGTCAATCATCTCATTCAACCTTGAGATGGTTATTGGCTTCCTTTTTAGAAGCTCAAGGATCTCTCTTTGACGGTGCTTAATGGCCAGATGCAAAATGTTCTGTTCACTATAGCTAACGTGCTCAGCTGCTTGAGGATGCTGCCTAAGTATCTCTGCAACAATAGGCACAATTCCAGTGATAGTTGCTATAAGCAATGGGTTATACTTATAAATGCTCTGCTTCTTAGAATTGGTTGGTTCTGCGGAATCCTTTCCTTTTTGATCACCTCCATCATTATCACCCTTACAAAGATTTTCCACTGACCCCAGAGAAATCGTCTTGCCTTTTGCTTCTTTAGAATTCTGCCATGAATTGTCTTTCTCGACGAGCAAAGGGATGAGGTTTTTAAGAGCATGTTTAATTCTCTTATCCTTCCAGATCTTTTCGATTATGTCCATTTCTATCCATCATGGCCAAGCTTATACACGATTAGTTATTGTATAAGAGAATCAAATGAAAGAGAAATGAATTAAGCGCTATAATTAAGCAAGCATGCATGCATCATAAAGTATAGAAAAGCCAGAAACTAAGCAACCTTTAGCAAGGAAGTCCCACAGGGAAGTGTACACCTTCAGAATGCCTGCAATGTTATGCATGCAACTTCATCAGGATCCTAGCTATATTAAACTTGTATATAAATATTAGTTCAAAAAATCTGGTTAACAATTAAATAGATCACAAATGATTTTGATTACCTTCAGGCTTCTTCCAAGAGATGGCTTGGGGGGGTTGGTTGCTGCCCAAGCTGATCTCCACATCATCCTTATGATTTGTTGTGACCTCCAGATCTCGAGCAGGAAGGCCTGCAGCAGCATGTATAACAAGAATTAATATGCATGTCAATGTCATAAAACTTGAGCATCTGTTAACTGATATGCTGTAATTAAACTGCAAGGCTTAACCATCATACAATAATAAATGAGCATCTTCCATCTGCTTTGTTGAC